TTTATTTCTGATCATATGAAGAATAAACCAAAGGACAAGAAAGATCAATATAAAAATGACTTTTTTTACATCATCCCTACACTTCTGGTAGATTGAAATTGTATTTCTGGGTGGCCCGGTTGGCTCAGCGATTTAGTGCCGCTTTCAGCCCAGGGCCTAATCCTGGAATCCCAGGATCGAGTCCCAAGTCGGGCTCCCTGCATGGAGCCTGCTTCTCCCTCTGCCTGTGTCTCTGCCTGTGTGTGTGTGTGTGATACATAAAACCTTAAAAAAAAAAAGAAATTGGGGATCCCTGGGTGGCGCAGTGGTTTAGTGCCTTCCCTTGGCCCAGGGCACAATCCTGGAGACCCGGGATCGAATCCCACGTCGGGCTCCCGGTGCATGGAGCCTGCTTCTCCCTCTGCCTGTGTCTCTGCCTCTCTCTCTCTCTGTGACTATCATAAATAAATACAAAAATAAAATAAAATAAAAATATTAAAAAAAATGTATTTCTGAAAGGAGTGATTGCCACCTTAAATTCATTTGTCTTTGTCATGCATTAAGGTATGTAATGCAGTACAAACAATATGGTGATCATCTTAGAAGTTAGGAAATAGCAAAATCTGAATGCTGTTAATTGGAAGAGAATTATACTAACAGAAAACCAAATAGTATTTTATCCATTTAAAGTAAATTTTCATCATTCTTAGTATTTTTCTTCAAGTATTTAAATATATACACTGGAATATTGAGTGAGATATTTTTACTAAGTCTCCCTAATTTATTTCTCCTATTGTAAGCATTTTATGAAGGCCACTTGCTTTATAATAAATGCTAAAAGGGCATATTAAATGGTTCTAGGTGTTAAAATGCAGTTAAGTGAAATATTCTGCTTGAAGTGTCAGAGCATAGATCTCAAAGCTAACAGAGCAGGTGGAAATTAAAGTAATTCTCACAAGCAAGAAAACTATAGAGAAGGTGAGCCCAATTCTACTTAAATCCTTGGCTGAGTGTCACATGTCATAGGCTCAGGGGAGACCTTAGGAAGCCAAGCTAAAAAAGAATCATTTGGAGACCACAGAGATAAAACAGAGATATAAGCAGCTGAGCACCATGGTTTAGAGTTTATGGTTTGAATCCGAGCAAGATAACTGCCTAATAGAATACAAATCCGATAGTACCATGTTTCATCGAAGAAACATGACGGAGTTCAGTTTCTATAACTGCAGTGTCTGTTTTTCTACAAAAATATTAGAGATGCAATTAGGCAGTAAAATGTGATCCATACTCAAGAAAAGGCAATAAAAGAAACTATTAGGCCAGATTTGAATTTAGAAGACTTCAAAGCAGCTATATTAAATATGTTCAAATAATTAAAGGAAAGTATGTTAAGAGAATTAAAGGAAAATATAGTATGGTTGAATAGCAAAGAGATAATCTCAGCAGAGCAATGGAAACCGTACTTAAAACAAGCTTGGAAGTCTTAGAGCTGAAATACACAATTACTGTAAGAAAAAAAAATTGCCAGATGGGCTCAAAAGTAGTTTGGAAATATCAGAAGAAACGAATAGCAAACTAAGAGACCTAGTAGAAATGACCCTATCCAAAGACCAAGAAGAAAAAGGATTGGAAAAAAATGAGCAAAACTTCAGAGAACTGTGAAGTAGGCCAATATACATATCATTACAATCATGGCAGGAGAGATAACAAAGAGGCATAAAAATATTTGAAGATATAATGGCCAAAAACATCCCAAATTTAGTGAAAAACATGAAATGATAGATCCAAGAAACTTGCAGAGCCCAAAGAAAGAGGAACACAAAACCAGGATGTGAGGGCGATCTGGCTGCGACATCTGTCACCCCATTGATCGCGAGGGTTGATTTGGCTGATCTGGCTGGCTAGGCGGGTGTCCCCTTCCTCCCTCACCGCTCCATGTGCGTCCCTCCCAAGCTGCGCGCTTGGTCGAAGAGGACGACCATCCCCGATAGAGGAGGACCGTTCTTCGGTCAAGGGTATACGAGTAGCTGCACTCCCCTGCTAGAACCTCCAAACAGGCTCTCAAGGAACACAAAACCATTCCCAGACATATAGTAAAGCTCCTTTATAATAAACATTTGAAAGCCACCAGAGGAAAATTACATATTTGCTTACATTTCAAGGAAAACAGTGAAAATATTTGTTGTTAATCATAAAATTTGAATTTTTAAGAAAAAATAAGAATTTTGGAAGGCTTGTATCTACCAATACCTTCCCCATATTTTGAAGGACCCTTTTTATAATTTTGATAGTGAAATTAACAAATACGATTTTGAAAAATACTGTGAAATGAAATGTGTCAGCACTTGAAGATTCACATAAGGAAGATCAACATAATTCAGTGAACCAGTGTTTTCCAAATAGCTGATGCATGATGTTATGAGACCACTCACTGGTAAAAGATAGATTTGAAGTGAAAAGTAGACCAATGGATTTTAATGTAACAGTACAGAATGGCTTCAGATTCTACATTGCAGCTACTTGTTCTGAAACTACTCATCAGGGTTTGTTGTATTACCAAAGAAAAGTAACTGCAGTTACCTGAAAAGGCTATATTAAACTAATCCTCCCTTTCCCAACACTCTTACCTCAGAGAGACTAGATTTTCTTTATATTCTTCACCCAGAACAACACATTGTGAATGCGGAGGAACATTTGGGCATCCAACTGTCTTCTTTTAAACTAGTTAATGAAGGAGCACCTGAGTGACTCAGTTGGTTAAGCATCCAACTCTTGATTTTAACCCAGGTCATGTTCTCAGGGTTGTGAGATCGAGCCTTGAGTTGGGCTCTGCACTGGGTGTGGAGCCTGCTTGAGATTCTCTCTCTTTCTCTCTCCCCTGACTCACATACACACACACTCTCTCTCTAAAAAAAGAAAAAACAGGAAAAAATAACTAGTTTTTGAAGGAACTTGCAAAAATATAAAAGTGTTCTTTTATTTTGGAAAATTATAGCTGTTTTTCATAAAATATGCTGTTTATGTTAATATGCAGTGAGTTTTATTTTTACTTTAAAAGTAATTTTTAAAATCTTAGTTTTAATTTCTAATACAGTAAATTTCAGTAGACATAATCCCCATTCATAGAAGATCTTTGGAGTCCTTCATAACTTTTTAAGTGTAAAGATGCCCTGAGACCCAAAACTTGAGAATTATTTTGAGTCTGCTCTGTCTTCAAATTCCATTGAAAGCACCAGACTGGAATATTGGAAATATCTTGTAGCCCAGGAGATTAGTGTTTCTGAGTATATGATGACATTCAATTTTTGTTGATATCCTTGATTATTTTCAAGTAGACCATATAGTATGCTGTGGAGGATGCTGCTTAGTGCTTTTGATGGCAACTCCCCCCACCCCCACCTTTGATAGATTTTTTTTTTCAGACCTGTTTTTTTCAGTAGGGAACTTTACCAGAAAAGCAATAGGGGCCTTTTGCAGTGATGACTAATTCTTTTCTTTTCTTCTTCCTCCTTTTGTTATGTTTAGAGGTTATCAAGAAAGAGATGTTGAGAAAGTGTTAAGAGGGCCTCTATTGTGGCCTGCACAGTCACTTGCTATGCTATTCTGAGTTGTTAATCACTTCCTGGGAAAGAACAATAAACATTTGAAAACAGAATCATTGACGTTTGTCTCATATGGTGTGAAGAAGAATTATAAAGATGGTAACTGAGAGAAACTTATCCAGATTTTTTTTTTGTCCTACTTATAATCTGTTAAATGCGTGTGGCGATGCTTGTTTGGTTTTGTAACCTAGTAGATAAGAATCACAATGTGCCAGAAATAAATTTTCTATAAGGGATGGTCATTACATAAATGTGTAGTAAGTTTATTTTAACATTAAATTACTTTGTTCTTTGACAAAAATAAACCACTATAAAATAAAAGCAAAAATAGCCCACCTACTTACCTACTTGCATGAAACTGAATTATTCCCAGCTCCTTTGATGTGTTACTGCTTCTCCTGTCTCTTAGTGTTCCTCTTATTTTCCAGTGTTCTTAGTGACTTCATACTTATACTTGAATTTAGAACAATCCTTATTATTAATGAGCTTGTATTGGTCTGATTGTTAATTTTATCACTTAGATTACCATGGTCATAAAAGTCATCAGACCAAAAAGAGAGTTTCTGTACCCTGTCTTCAGGCCTTTTATATTTTCATATAATACTTTTGGGAGTTTAAAATTCACATGTGTTTGAACAGGAGCACAAAAACAACTTTATTTTATACTTTATTTCTTCGACTGTTGAGTTACGTGGAAGTCGTAAAACTGACCATTTCCCCATGTTGTGTTTAAGGACTTGATGATTTACTTTCTGAACCGTATTTTCATTATATTTTCGAAATGACACAGGTTTCCTTTATCTTTGCAAATGATTATGATTCTGAAAGTCACAGAGACTTTCACCAGAAGAGAAAGCTTCCAATTTGAGGATATCAATTAGAGAAGTATTTGGGTCTAGAAATAAAACTTGATTATTCATCAGTTGTTTCCTTATACCACAATTCCCTTTGTGTTTTCTTTAGCTCACTGATGAAGAGGAAGCCTTTCTGGATTGGAGTGAAGATGATGATGATGATGGATTTGATCCAAGCACACTTCCAGATCCAGATAAGCACAGAAGCTCTGAGGAATCAGATAGTGAAGACCTGGAAAATAAAATAAGGTATGTTTTTACTTTTGGTAGGATTGTATATGGATCTTCTCCTCTGAGTCCAAAGGATATGTAGAGACAAATATCTTGTACTCTTCCAATCATTTAGGAGGCTCTCCTATTGTTTCTGTTATCACTGTTAGTTGTGAGAGTTATAATAAGAGTTGGGTTTTTTTCCTCTATTTTTCCTGTCTTTCTCCTTCTGAATCCTTTATGCTTAAGTATTTGGTGCAGTAGGGTATATTTCATGCAAACAGACAGAATTTTATTTTGATTCACTGTCAAAGGACTCTATTGAGAGTATTGTTAAAAATTTTCTCTGAATTTTGTGCTTCCTTCGTCAGCACATATACTAAAATTGAAACGATACAGAGAAGATTAGCATGGCCCCTGCGCAAGGATGACATGCAAAAATGTTCTCTGGATTTTAAAAAAGGGCAGTTGTACTTTCACATTCTTTGATATAAAACTAAGTAACAACTACATAAAATAATGGGAAACTTAAACAGCCCTTGGAAGGGTCTCTCAATTTAAAATTTGTTCATTTGTAATGTGAACTTATTTGTGACCATGCCAAAAACAGATAAAATGCAATGAATTGCATAATAGTATGATTTGCTCAGCATTTGTTTCCAGAGTACTGTATTGGATTACATTGGGATTGTATTGATTTAAAAGTTGAGGTCACTGAACTTCATGCACATTCTAAACCAATGAGCCTCTTCAGACAGAAGGGAGGTACTAATAACAGATGAAGGTAATATGATTGAAGGAAAGAGGAAGCTTGTTGGAAGCCCTAACTACTAGCTCAGGGATTTGGGAGTTGGAGAGATAGGCCACAAAGAGCTATAATCTGATTTTAAGTAAGAACATTATGAAGAAAAAAATCTCAAAAAGATTATCACCTAAGAGTAAATGTTAAAGGAGGGATCATTTCAGTTACCCTTCATTGTGATCTTGTGCTCATTTAAACATAGAATTATTTTCTAATACTGAAATGACATCCATAATGCTGTCTTCCTAAGTGAGGCCAGAAACTTGAGACATTTGCTATTGCACAACTAGGTAGCAGACATAATGGTTTTTGAGTATTTCTAGGGGACACAATAGCAAACTAGATAGTGGGCATACTGGCACCACAGGTGAAAATAATTTGATCATGATTTAGAAAAATATGTGCTGTAAGGGTTAAATAATTTAGGTTCAGAGCATATTCCTAATCTTTAGAATTTGATCTTTAAGGGAAAATATGCACACTTTCCTTCAGAAAGTTCTTTGGTGAACATGTTGAAACCTTGATGAACTATCAGTTCATGAAGTGTTTAAGTTTGCTTCCCCTTATGTTCTAAAATAAATGTCCCCTTTTCAGAGATGGCTTATGGTATCTCCATTTTGATAGATGTGATCTAACTCAACACGTGTGACTTTATGTCATTAACTTTGTTTAAAAGACCAAATTCGATTGAGTAAAATTTAAAAGTTTTATTTATTTATTTATTTATTTATTTATTTATTTATTTATTTATTTATTTATTTATTTATTTATATTTACTTATGATAGTCACACACAGAGAGAGAGAGAGAGAGAGAGAGAGAGAGAGAGAGAGAGAGAGGCAGAGACACAGGCAGAGGGAGAAGCAAGCTCCATGCACCGGGAGCCCGACGTGGGATTCGATCCCGGGTCTCCAGGATCGCGCCCTGGGCCAAAGGCAGGCGCCAAACCGCTGCGCCACCCAGGGATCCCAAAATTTTAAAGTTTTTAATGGATTTATTTGACAATTCATGAAATCAGGCAGCATCCCATCTAACAGAAATGAAGGTGCTCTGAAGAATTCTACAAAATGAAAGGCTTTTATAGGTAGAGGAGAGCAGGAAAAGGAAATCATGGCAGGAGAGATGACAAAGAGGCATAAAAATATTTGTTAGCCATATTTTGTGTATCTAATATACCTTTAGGACAGAGAACCTACCTTTGAAGTCACGGGCCGGATGTCAGCATTCCTTTTGCATCTGATTTATTATAAGGATTTTTTCCTAACATTTCTTATGATAGCTTCTGGGTCATCCTTAATCTGTGTGCAGCAGACACTTCATTTCATTCTTCTGGCATTTCTTACCCTCATAGTGACATTTCCCTGCTACCACCTCTAATAGTGTCACGTGCTTCATTCTCTTAACTAGCTTATAAATGCTTCAGAGCTAGAAACTGTCTTTTTTATCAATATATCCAGCTCTGTCTCCACTCCTATGTCCACTGTTAATGTCATAGGCACAGAGAAGGCCCTGAAATATTTAAATTGATAGATTAATTGATGGAGGAGATTTATAGAGTAAAAAAAGAGAAGTATATTTATAAGCAACTATATAATTGTCCCTCATAGCTTACATGATATAAGAGATGATAGCATAGATGGTTGGAGAACTGGAGAAGTCAAGTTCAAATAATGTAATGGCAAGGAACTAGAAGGCTAGAGTACCTTAAGATGCCAAAGCATCTTATCATAAAGGTTCAGATGGAAAATAATTAAGCATTACATGGAAATTAAAATGGTTTTAATTTCAGGCACAGCTAGTAAATTTGCATTAACAGAAATTGAAAGGAATTAGTAACCTGTCTTAGCCTGAAGAAAAATTGTCTTTTGTTAAAGAAAGTATCAACAAAGGTTTATTCCCTTTAGCACACATGAGGACTTTCTAGCAGTTTTGTTTTTGTTTATGACAACAGATTGTCATAGTCTAACACTCTCTTCTTAGAGATAAAGAAACCAAAGCTTCAAGGGGTAGAATACTTTGTGATCACAGTGCTAAGGGGTGGATCAGCATAATGTGCGTAAACCACATTGATTCTGTAGTTCTAATACTTTAATGACGTTATAGAGAATTACTCTGGCATTAAGAAGGATAGCTCAGGAACACTGTCTGAAGACTATTTTTTTTTTAATTTTTTTTGAAGACTATTTTAATGTCATTCGGGTAAAGACTTGATCCATGAGCTAAGTATAAGATAGATTTGACTAGATCATGGTTTCCTGACTTCAACATTACTTACATTCTGGTACAGATTATTCTTTGTTTGGGTGGGTTGGAAATGATTGCAGACTGTTGAGCACCATCCCTGGCCTCTACCATAGTGCTTCCCCAGTTGGGGCAACCAGAAATACCTTTAGACATTGCCACATATCCCTCAAGAGCAAAATCTCCCACTGGACTAAACCCAGGATGACAGGCCCATATTACTGGTGATTGATTTCCTCATCCCTCATCCAGTATATACTTTGTGTATATTCCTTTCCATTCAGCTTAAGCAGTCCTTCTCAATACAGCCTGTATCAGTCAGTTGGGATTCCTACCGAAGGTAAGACCTATGTGCCGTTCCCGAACTAAGGTAGGATATGGGATAGTTACAGGAAGTAGCCCACATGTGAAGTTCCTATGTTTCCCCTACTTCCATTTTTTCCCTTTCCCCTTCTCTGTGAAAATGAATAAAGTGCAAACTAAAGCCAAAATTGTTTTTAGAGAAGTAAAAGTATTCACAAGTAAGTCCATATACACTATATATAATTTTGATAGTAGTAATTGCTGTGTTGGTACTGCTATTTATATTACTAGCAGAAGTACAGTTTTACTGCATTGTTCCAGTTTGGCTACATCTTTTTTTTCCATGCCTCCCATAAATAAGAATAGGTGCTAGGATTTTGTGGCATCAGCTTTAGAGGGCTCTCCTGGCACACTCACGTTTGCTGCACTGTTTCTAACCTCAGCTGAGTAATTGTGGCAGCAGTGAGTGTTTCGGCCTCTTGGTCATCTTTGCTCTCTCAGTGGGTTATTCCCTGCTTATTAACTTCACATTTTCTGATATGAGTTACTTTTATGAGACCAGATAACACCAATTAGAAAATGGCTTAGTCCCAAAGTAAGTAGCATGAGCCAGTTTCTTTTAAAGTTTCCTTTGGGTATTTCTTTGTCCTTTACCTCAGTGACACCCCTAAATATTCAGCATGAGTAACACTTTTGTCTCTCTGCATGGTGAGACACTTAGTAAGAAGTAGGCAAAGGAGAGCCAGATGTAGTGGAGAATGGCAGAATCTGAGGTGGATCATTCTTCCTCAGGGAGGTGTGCTTAGGGTTTAAAGAGTATACCTCCCTCAGCACAGTGCAGTAGAGTCTACACTATCCTTAACCCTCTGTAGAATTCTCAGAATTGTCATCTCTAACACTGATTCCAGAGGGATTCTCTTGTGCAAGATTCAGCTCCTTTAGGTTCACACGACAAAAAGAGATCTCTTGTTTAAATATGGTCCCAGAGACAATGAAAATAATGTGACCTTGAGTTCCTTTGAAGGAGCTTTAAGAATGTTCTCATTAATAGCTTGTTGATCCCCAGAAAGAGAACAGTGAAATAGGAACAGTAGTGTCCCCATAGTATAGAAGGATGTTACTGGTTCGTCAGCAGCAGATGCCCAAGTTCCATCAGAGGCTCTGAGCTTTTGTGTGCTATTTTTGAAAACAGAGAAGGGAGAGCTTGCTTTGATGCCTTGTGGTTTCTTTCCTTATTTTCCATCCTCCTTACACATTGGCCCAGGTTGTGTTTTACTCTGTAGCTTTCCCTTCTGCTTCCTCCTAACTGTGGAATTAGCATGGGTTAGAATTACTACAGAATGTTAGTATTTGTCATTACTGTTGTTATTACTGAAACAATTTGATAGGAAACCTAGATCTTTGCTGCAATGGACTTGGTGACATTGTGGGATTCATTGTTTGTTAGGAACTGCACAGAACTGCGTTCTTGCTTCTAGTAACTTGTGATACAGACTTAAATACTTTCTTCAGAGGAAGAAAGACCTCAGATATTAGAACTGTCTTTGTGCTATTAAGTGATTTTTTTTATTTCTTTATCTCCCCAACAGGCTATATAATGTATTTATATGCTTGTACGATTAAAGTATTTGGTGTTCTCTCTATATGTGGTGCCAAGAACTGGAGTAAGAATCTTCTATATTATTTAAATCATGTTCCACTTATTTAAGAGTTAAAAATACCTACTTATCTTTCTTCCGTCTATCCATTCAACTACGAATATTTTAGTAAGCTATCAGGTGCCAGGTGATAGTGCAGGTACAGAGGATGAAACATAAAGAAAAATCTCTTTCCTGCTGTCACAGTTTGTGGTTTAGCAGAGATTACAGACAGCTGAGCCTGCACCTACAAAACAATATTATGGATACATGCTGTGATCTGTGCCCTGGGGGAGGCAGTAGGGAGCAGGGCAGGGAGGGAATGAGCTGAGCACAGAGAGCAAGTGAAGAATCTAACCTGGGCATGGTGAATCTGGAAGAGCTACCTGAAGGGAGTAACATCTAAGCTAAACCTGAATGAAGTTTTAAATCTTACCTGAGCGGGGAGAAGGTAGGTTGCGCTTCTAAACAGTGT